CATCTTTCTTGTAGTGAGGGGCCCAAAACTGAACACAGCATTCGAGGTGCGGCCTCACCAGCACCGAGTACAGGGGCACAATCACTTCCCTACCCCTGCTGGCCACACTATTCCTGATACAAGCCAGGATGCCGTTGGCCTTCTTGGCCACCTGGGCACACTGCTGGCTCATATTCAGCTGAATGTCAACCAGTACCCCCAGGTCTTTTTCCACCAGACAGCTTTCCAGCCACTCTTCCCCAAGCCTGTAGCGTTGCATGGGGTAGCTGGGAGGATGCTTCCAGTTGCAGAGGGGTGATGCATTTGGCGGGGGGCAGCACGTGTGCCCATCTGGTGGAGCGCAGGGCAGGTGCTGGATGGAGCAAAGGAGCTGGGAAGCCCCGATGCAAAGCAGCAGGGACAAATGTGGCTTAAAGATCTGCCGTGGTTGAACATGGAGGAGTTTCTGAGCGATCCACAGTTTTTCCTGGACAGTGTGGTCATTCCATAGAGGGGACCTCCATGGCAGACGATGCCTTGGTTGAGTTTGAACCCAATACATGTTCCTGTTGATGGCCCAGTCCTAATCGCAGTGCAGTGCTGAGCATTCAGGGTTTTGGGGCTGCTTCATGGAAAAAGTGAACTTTCAGCTGTGTTTTTGCAAAGGGAGAAGCTGGAGCGTGGAGTCACGGCGAGCGCAAGGTCACGCTCAGGTTGGTGTCAGTCTCTGGTCCGATTGCAGCGACCGGAGATGGACCCGCCCTGCCTCTGCAGAGCTCTGCCCATGGCAGAGAGCGGTCCAAGGATTTAAGCAGGGTGATGCTGAGCATGCAAAGACCGGATTCAGCACAAATCAGTTAAAATTTTCCCGTTGGCAGGACAGCGGGGTGTCTGGCTCATATTGGGGTGCCGTGCTACCAACAGCTCCTTAGCATTGAGATATGGTCCTGCAACGCAGTCGGGGATCCTTTGGAGGGCCTGACTGCCCCTGTCCCCATCCAGGTGTCAGCGCGGGGCTGTCCCTGCTCTCCCTCGCTTGGGCTTTGGTCTCCTACAGCCGCTTCGCCTGCCTGCTGAAACCCGGACACCTCTGCCCGCCGGCCACGGCCATCCTCTGCCTGCTGCTCTGGAGGACAGGGATGCTGGGCACCAGGGTCCTGGCCCTGGTGTTCTTTGCCAGGCTGTATTCCTTTTGGGTTTTTGCTGTGGCAGGTAAGACTTTTGATCATCTTCACAGTGCCCCATCCTGCTGTCAGCCACGGGGATGCTCCTGGTACTGGAAGGGCTTTGCAGCCTCCCCCCAGGAATGGCTTGGCCCTTTCAGTCCTTTCCCCTTGCAGGTGTCCACTGGTTGCTCATGTCCTTCTGGCTGGTGGCCCAGCAGACGGACATCGTGGCCCAGCCTTGCCGCTGGAGGCTGTTCAACTGCCTGGTGGGAGCCGTGTACATCTTCTGCTACGTTAATGTCCGGCCCGGTCCCTCCAGGCACAGGGTGGCCGTGTTTTATGCAGTAAGTATCCAGGATATTCGGTATTCCACATGGATGCAGCTGCTAGGGAGAAGCAATAGCTTCAGACTCTCCTTTCTCATCTCTCCCATCACCACTTGGTAAAAATCCAGCATTTCCCATGTCCTGACGAAGCCACACGGTCACTGAGGTGGATGGATGCGCTTTCTGCGCTGGCTTTGTCCCAATGTCCCAATGACACCAGAGCGGCTGTGCAGCTCCGCAGTTATTTTTCATGGTAAAAAAAGGTCGAGACCTTGCAGAAAGTTCAGGTCAACAACCCTTAGGTTTTATGTGATAAGTTTAAGCACAGCAAATCAGCAAAATCTAGCAACTGTGCCTTTTTTCTGTCATCAGAAGCACGTCTGAAGCCTTCAGAAGGATAAAAGTGACAACTCCCTTCCTTCTGCCCTGCAGGTAATGCTGATGGAAAACACCCTCCTGCTGCTGCTGGCCACGCGGTTCCTGCAGGCAGAGCTAAGGAACAGCCTGTGCGTGACCGGGGCCGTCATGGCAGGGTCTGCCATAGGTGAGATCCGCTGGGTTTTGGAGCCTGGATTGCATGTTCTCAGGTTAGCTTGAGTAAAGGAGCATCATTGGTTGTTTTAGTTGCATCAGGCTATTTGCTTTAGTTCTTCCAGCTGAAGCATCTGAATGTATTTGATAATACATGAATCCACCTTGAGTTTCGTTTCTTCATCAGTTCTTGGAAGCCCATCCCTGAAGGGGGAGGCTCGCAGAAATAATCGAGACATCACCAAATGGCGCGGGTACCGCTGCCGCATACAATATATGCAATTTTAAAGCACATTTTTGTGCTTTTAAAGCACATTTTTTGATGCAAAGCATCTTTGTGCTTTCCACGCTCTCGGTGGTTGGTGACCAGCAGAGGCAGCGGTAGAACACAGGGGAACGCTGCAGGGAAACGTTTTCATTTGGGCATATAGTGATGATTTATGAAGGTGGCTTCCGATTGATCAGCCATCACGGGGTGTATTTTGGAAATACGCTGGTGTGGGGCCGTGCAGAACTACAGCAGCTTTCTCCCACCCTGTCTTCTTTCAAAGACCAGTGCTGCTTCTGTAAATCATAGAATCATAGAATGGTTTGGGTTGGAAGGGACCCCTAGAGGTCACCCAGCCCAACCCCCCTGCAGGGGCAGGGGACACCTTTAACAGATCAGGGCTCACAGCCCCGTCCAACCTGGCCTGGAATGTTCCCAGGGATGGGGCCTCCACCACCTCTCTGGGCAACCCCTGCCAGGGTTTTATCACCCTCATTGTACAGAATTTCTTCCTTAGATCCAGTCTAAACCTACCCTGGTTTAGTTTAAAACCATCCCCCCTTGTGCTGTCCCAGCTGGCCCTACTAAAAAGCTTGTCCCCCCCTTTCCTCTGGGCCCCCTTGAAGCCCTGACCGGTCGCACTCAGCTCTGCCCGCAGCCTTCTCTTCTCCAGGCTGAACACCCCCAACTCTCCCAGCCTGGCCTCAGAGCAGAGGGGCTCCAGCCCTTGGATCATTTTTGTAGCCCTAAATGATCTGTGATGGAGAAGATACGCCATACCCTGCCCATACCCTGCCTTACTCCATACCCTGCCCATAAGGCAGGCAGCAGCTATGGCCAGCTGGTGCGTTTAGTTCCCTAAAGATTTAATGTGCAAAGCTGAAGGAGGGGGAAGGTTGTCCCATGCTTGCAAACAACCCATCAGCACCTCTGTTTGCAAAACTGGCACTGGGCAAGGATGGGAGTTGCTGTTTGCTGGGTGAGGTCCCCACCAGGCTCATGTTTTCCCAGTGGGATGGAGGCAGAGGGAAGCTGCAATGTCCATGTGCTGGGCTTTCTGCATCTCCCCAGAGCGGCTGTACACACATCAACTGTGGTCAAGAAAGGGCGCGTTTGGGCTGGAAAAAGAGAAATTCCTCTGACCTCAAACGAGTTTAGGATAGAAGTAGGAAGGTGTCTTAGAAACCTGCCTGCAGCTCTGCTGAGAGGGACCATGAGCCAGCAGGGTGCCCTTGTAGCCAAGAAGGCCAATGGCATCCTGGGGTGCATTAAGAGGAGTGTGGCCAGCAGGGCGAGGGAGGTTCTCCTCCCCCTCTGCTCTGCCCTGGTGAGACCCCAGCTGGAGCACTGTGTCCAGTTCTGGGCTCCCCAGTTCAAGAAGGATGAGGAACTCCTAGAGAGAGTCCAGAGGAGGGCTACAAGGATGATGAGGGGACTGGAGCATCTCCCCTATGAGGAAAGGCTGAGGGAACTGGGCTTGTTAGCAAGAAGGATGAGGAACTCCTAGAGAGAGTCCAGAGGAGGGCTACAAGGATGATGAGGGGACTGGAACATCTCCCCTGTGAGGAAAGGCTGAGGGAACTGGGCTTGTTCAGCCTGGAGAAGAGAAGACTGAGAGGGGACCTCATCAACGCATAGAAATATCTTAAGGGTGGGTGTCACGAGGATGGAGCCAGACTCTCCTCAGTGGTGCCCAGCGACAGGACAAGGGGAAATGGGCACAAACTGAAGCAGAAGAGGTTTCAGTTGAACGTGAGGAAGAACTTCTTGACTTTGAGGGTGACGGAGCACTGGAACAGGCTGCCCAGGGGGGCTGTGGGGTCTCCTTCTCTGGAGATCTTCAACCCCCACCTGGACACTGTCCTGTGCCCCCTGCTCTGGGTGAGCCTGCTTGAGCAGGGGGTGGCACTGGGTGATCTCCTGAGGTCCCTTCCGACCCCTGCCATTCTGGGATTCTGTGTCTCATTTAATGGCTAGAGGACAGGGATGCTGCGAGACGGGAGGGATTCTTGCACCCCACACCTCCTCCCTGCCCTGCGCCCTGGCTGCTGGTGCTCAGCACCTGCCTTGCTGTGCAACTATCGCTCTGCAAACCAATCCAGGTGAAATCCGGCCTTCAGAGTGGGCTCAGCACTCCCTTTCCCAAAAGCTGCTGGAGAGGGCTTCTTGCATCCCTAAAAATACTTGAAAGACGTGCTGCTTGGACACCTGATGTCCAGCAGCATCTCTGCGAAGGGCCTGTTAAACCTGGGGGTGGCAGCGAGGTCTGGTCTCACCTCCACACCTCACTGAAACGCTGCTGGGACTCGTCCCTTGACACCTTTCTGCTCTTTTTTAGGTGCCACAGCTCTGGTGGTTTATTACAGCCTGCTCCATCCCAAGTCCACAGAGATCTGGCAGGGCTTCCTGGAGACAACCTGCAGTGCCGTAGCCACCAGTGAGGACGAGGTTGCTGGAGATGGCTCCCAAGCAGGGCAGAGTTTGGGAATTTCGGGAGACAGAGAGTCTTTGGCTGGGGAAGGGACCATGGCAGATCCCAAAAGTGGGAACAGTTCATCGCTCCTGCAGCTCAGAGGGTGTTTGGAGGACAGCTGGACAAACCATCACCACTGGCTGCTGGTCAAGCTGGCCTTGAAGACAGGAGATATGTCCACAATCAACGCAGCTTTCGGAGATGGTGGCGTGGGAGAGGTTTACCCTGGAGGATGGATGATGGGGAAACCCACCGGTGTTGAGCCTGGGGCAACCCCTTCCCTCCCCATGAGGGAAATCGCTCCTCAGGGTGTTGAGTCTGGTGAGAAATTGCTGGTGGTAGGAAAGGGAGGAGGCAGCAAACCCAGCGCCGGCGCTGCGAGGACGACACGGGAGGACGGTGCGGGGCAGGAGCCTGGTTTTCACCCGGCCATATCCTTTCCCAGCAGCTTCTCCCCAGATCCTGCCGAGGGCTCCTCTCTGTATTTCAGCGCCAGTGCGGGAAGCATCGCCTCGCCCGGCACGGGGACAGCCACGGCTGCGTGCGTGGCCCACCTGCAAAGGGACGATGAATGCCAGCCTCCTGCAGGCTGCCTGGGAGGAGGAGGGGATTTATCCCTTGAGATGGGGAGCATCAGCCCAATCCTGGACACTTGTGCCCACAAGCATCTGCAGAGCAGGTCCTCCCTCGGCGGCACAGGCAGCCGTGGGGTGGGGGGTCCCCCCAAAGAGGGCTCAGAGCCCCTGGGGCCAGAGGGTGCCCTCACGGGGCAGCATCACCTTTGGGGCACCCACCCTTGTGGCACACAGGGGACTGATGTGAGGAGCAAGCTGAGGCCACCGTGCTTCACCTCCACCCCCAAGGCTGACCCTCGATGCCCACCGCAAGGACTGGGGGAGCCGGGAGAGGGGACAGACCCCTCTGAGTTGCTGGGGTGACCCTGGAAATCGCTGTAGTGTCACCTTGGGTCAGCATCGGGGCAGGTGCCGCCTCGGTAGGGTACGGCAGGAGGTGGTGGGATGTCAATGCTGGCCATGAAGACTGTCCCCATGGTGCCCCTGCTGCCGGGCAGGTGTGCTCCTCCACCGCTAGGACATCACCTTCCCTCCCTGTGCATCTTCTATGGGCAGTTTTGGAAAGCTTCAAAGGTCTTAAAAAGCCTTAAAAGTCCAGGTTTAGGTATTTATTAAACTTATTTATGTAACAGTCCTGCAAGTGCCTATACAAGCTGCTGGCCTGTCCCAGCATGGAGATCTGGCTGCTGTCTCCAGGGGCTGCAACGCTGGCCAAAGCAGGAGTCTTCTTAGGAAAAATAAGTGCCGAAACCAGAAAAATAATGAGTTTTACTCTCAGATGCTTTTCCTTCTGGGCTTAATAAGCATAAAAGTAAGGCTCAACGGTGCTTGATTTATTTTTCCTCCACCAGGTTCATCTTGAGAGCTTTACCAACTCCATTTGCTGGGGCCATATTGGAGCCCAGACCCCCTTCATACTGCAAACCACAACCTCAGCACCATGAATTATAGACAAAAGCATGCCCTGCTTGCTTGCTTACTGTCCTGCTTCCCCAAGTGACCTTTTCTGCCCAGGCTCTTCCTTACCCCCTTCCACCCAGCTGCAGATAATCCAGATCCAGCTGGATGCTCCCTCTTAAATTTAGCCTCGAGCCAAATCTCAAAACAGATTCACATCCATAAAATCCACCGTAAAATCTCCATTGCAGGCAGGGTTTATTTGTTTCGGGAACTAAAAGCCTCAATACCGTGGTCTCAGAAATAGCCAAGGCTGGCCATGAGTTTTTGCCCAGGACATGGCTTGACATGTTGGTTGGGGTCTGGTCTGCAGGGCTCACCAGCAAGCTCATGGGGGCCAGCTGGTGCACATCTGGCCGCGTCCTCCAGCTGTGGTCCTGCGGCAGGCAGGGCTCCGGTGGTGCCACAGGGCAGGAGATGCAGCCGGAAGGATGGGCATGCAAGGAATTATTTAAAAAAGCTTCCATGTAGCATTCACTACTCAGGATTGGCCTAGCCAGATTTTTTTCAAGCTGATCTGGGCACTGACAACCCCCCTGGTGCCGGTTTTGGACTGAAGCCGCTTTCCGACGTGGTGAAAGCTCCACGTCCCCGTTCGGCCCCCAGCACCGCCGTGCTGTGGCTGTGCTCCACAGGGAGGAAGCATTGCAGCAGCTTTTCCAGAGTCCTCCTCACTACGTGTCTCACACAGAAGGCAGCGGAGCTGCTGTGGCATTGTGGAAGTTTTTATCTAGTTTGGTTTTCTACCTTTGATAATATATAACGATGCGTTAAAAAACAAACTGGCCTTTGCTGTGTCTGTGTCTCGTGTTGGGGATGGACATAAGCGTGGAGAGGTCCCCTCTGGACCTTGATATCCCGCTGCTTTGCAAGCAAACTGTTCTGCAGCTTCTGGCTGGATGTGACCTCGCCTCCTCCCATCTCCTTTGCAGTCCATTTTCCTGTTTTCTTAGATTTTCATGGGATCGTTTAGGTTGGAAAAGACCTTTAAGATCATCAAGTCCAACCATTAACCCAACACTCCCATCCCACCCCCAAATCCTGGCCCTCAGCACCTCTTCTGCCCGGCTGTTAAATCCCCCCAGGGCTGGGGACTCGACCCCTTCCCTGGGCAGCCCCTTCCAGTGCCTGACAGCCCCAAGGGGAAGGAATTGTTCCCCATGCCCAACCTCACCCTGCCCTGGCACAACTTGAGGCTGTTTCCCCTCGTCCCATCGCCCCTTCCCTGGGAGCAGAGCCTGATCCCCCCGGCTCCCCCCTCCTCTCAGGCAGTTGTAGGGAGCGATGAGGGCTCCCCTCAGCCTCCTCCAAACTAAACCCATTCCGGTTCTACCCGCCCCCAGTCAAGCTGTTGAATTGAGCAGGGTTTTTCCCTTTCTCCAGCTGGAGGGTGTGCAAAGATAGGACACAGATATGAACGGGCAAAGGACTCCACATCTCCTTTCTGTCTCCTTCACACTTTTCTCCTGCAGCCCCAGGACAAGTTGCCCTTTGGGATTTTGGAGAAGGGTCTGCATCCAGCACCTTTCTGAGCGGGGGCCACCTCAGCCTGCAGGACCTGGGCACTTCGATGCGGCATGCAGAGAGCAGTGGGTTGGGTGAGTTTGGCTGCTGCGGGTGAGTTGCAGCTCAGGAGGAACGGAGATGGCAAGCTGGGACATTGGTAGCCCTTTGGGGTGGGGATGCAGACCTTTACTGGCCAAATTTCTGTGCCAGGCAGTGGATGCTGGGAGGAAGGATTGGTTATCTCTTCCTGGTCCCATTCCCTCTTGCCAGAGTGGGAAACCGGGTTCACCAGGGGGGGTGGCTGGTGGAAGCTGCCCCTGTCCCCACCCCGGTCCCAAAGCAGGGTGAGTGATGCTGAACCAGGCAGCAGTGCCTCCTCACCCTATCCCCAAACCAGGACCAAACCAGGTCTAGGACAGGGAATTCCTTTCCTTCCCTGAGCAGGATCATTCTCTTCCCAACCCAGAGCCTTCCCTATAGGTTGGAGAGATCCCATGAAAGGGGCTGTGTCCTATATAAATCGATCCAGGAGATCTGATTTTAGCAACCTTGAGAAGAAACACTAACATGACAAGAAGTGTTGAAACTACACGCTAAATAAAGACTGGTAATAGTTGGGGTAGATTTTGAGCATCGAACCCTAACATCTGAGGTCAGGCAGGTGGGAAAACAACCCACCAACCCAAGGGTCACAACGCATGGCGCTGCACTTGGTGGGAATCTCTCCTTGTACGCTCTACTCAAGCCACATCAGTGCTGACCTTGGCTCTACACCCTATGGTTGCAACCCTACGGGCTGTAATCATTTGCATTGACTGCAGAAATCAAATGCTTAGTAGGTCAAGCCATGACTATGCAAATTACGGGCTGCCCTCAAACCTGCGCTGGTTAACACAAGGCAAGATCAGGTAGGAAAAGCAAATGCATTGAGGGTTTGCTCTTCTGTCCCGGTCCGGGGCCTTGAGACACAGAAGAGTTTACACCATCCTTGTTGCAGTGGGGAGCGATACGTGTATTTTGCCTGATAATTAGAGAGTTGCTGCTGTTAACAGCAGACCATAGGCTTTGTGCCAACTAAACTTGGGCTTCCCAGGGACAGTTTTGGACAGCCATGGGTCTGTTCTAGCTGTAACTGCAAAAATTGGTAAGGGTCATGAAATGGTTGGGAGGGCTGTATCCTACAGCTTAATGCTGGCTCTGTGTAGGTGGTAAAGGTCCGAAAGCACTCAACAGCCATTGTGAAACTATCCCATGGAGCAGTCAGAAAAGAAAATATGGCCAAACAGACAATTATAAGAAAGTAGAGAAATACTTTTGGGCACAGGAGACAGGCCTTTCATTTCTCAGAGCATCTCCAAGATGCACAGAGGGCCTGGAGGTACACCATGAGCTGACACCTCTGACCCTGGAGGAGGTGGTTGTGGAAATCCCAGATGGATCGAGGAGGAGGTGATTGTGGAAATCCCAGATGGATCGAGGAGTGGCCAAGAGAGGGGACAGCACCGGGGCGGGGGAGGGGCATGATGGCTGGGTAAGGATGGGGGTGTAGCTGTGGTGGGTATGTTCCCATGGCTTTGCTCCCCCATGATGGGAGATGGTCACTGGTGAGATCCTCCCATGCTCGCCCTCACCTTCTCCTTGGGAGGAACATGAAATGAGGTGAAATAATGTGGATTATCTGTCCTTAAAGATTCAAGCCTGTGTGAGAGCCCTGCTGCACCCAAGTCCAAGTCGTGCATGCTGGGTACAATCCACCCATAGGTCTCCACCTATAGAAATTACTTCTGTTTAGTTACATCTAAAGCCCTGTTAGGAGAAGGAGAACTGCCCAGCTGCAAATCACAGCACTAGATACCCCTCCCCACCCTTCCCATCTCTGAGCACGGGGAACTCAAGATGCCCCAATGACCTAGTGCACATCCAGATCTTTCCCCAAAGCTGCCGGACGGAAGAGGTCAGGCTGGGGAGGTGCTTCTCCCCACAGCTCCTTGCTCCTCAGCCACCAGGGGGAGATGCTGCTCAAGGCTACAGAAGCAGACACCTTGTTCCAGATCTTTGTGCCCATCCAAGCGCCCGGTTTATGGGAGGAGAGGGATGCGCGGGACACATGGTGCTGTGGCATCGCAGGTGGGAGCTGGTGGGAGTTAAATTTAAGACTCAGCTGGACAGGGTGCTGGGCCATCTTGTCTAGACTGTGCTCTTACCTAGAAAGGTTGGGCTAGATGACCCTTGAGGTCCCTTCCAACCTAGGATTCTATGATTCTATGACATGGGAGGCTCTGGGATACTAGAGGTGGCCGACATGGTGCACAGCAAGTACCTGGAGGAATGTGACCATGGTTGCAAGAGGGTCCTTCCACCTCCTCGGGCATCACCAGGCCACGAGGAAAGTCTGGGAGCTCCTGCCAGGGTCTTGCCAAGGTAGTATTCAGGGCCAGGAAGGGATTGGCAAGTATCTCATGGTGACTTCAGGCCCAAAGGCGGGTGTGCAAGAGGAGCTGCCACTGACCGCGTTGAATGCAGCATGGGAACCTGCTGGTTTGGTAGAACCAGCTCTGGCTGTTGCCACCACGGTGCTGAGTCCTGATATTTGGCAGCATACCCACGGAGCAGTGCACGTGCGCCTGGGCGGGTGACATGGTCGCTCCCTGCTCTGCGCTGTCTTCACATCAACCCACCAAGCACAGAGGTCCCACAAAGCCCAGGTCCTTGCTCCCTGGGGAGCAACCAAATTTGCCTAATCCAAACCCAGGGCGCGAAGCTGCACAAGAAACCACAGCTAGGGAAAAGCATGGCAGAGGGGCGACCAACCAACTGCTCAGGGGAACTGGCTGGTGTTTCCTCCCTGTGCCCCAAATGCTTGAGGACACCCAACCAGACCCTCTGCTATTTCTTCAGCGTTTCCCATGAAGCCCTTTTCAGATGAGATGCATTATCCTGAGCTAGACCCTAGGACCTACCCAGCCTCGGGGGATGCTCATCCCCAATGTTTGGACTTCAGCCACCCGCAGAATGTCTGGAGTGGGGGATGTCTCCATCCCACCACACTTGGCCAGATCATCCTGTGCTCTCACCTACCCTGGAATGGAGGATTTCTGCTCATTTGCCTCCTATGAGCCTTTTTTGTTTGTTTGTTTGTTTTTTAAGGAAACCCTCTCCAGTGCTTTAGAGAGGCAGAGGCTCATGCCCCAGCCCAGGAGAGCTCAGGGCCACCGATGAGAGGAGCTCGCGTGGGCTGCGAAAGGGTGGCAAGGGAGTGGACAGCAGGA